CTCCGTTTAATCGGTATTATCATTAATCCAAAATGGACGCCGTAACGAAATGGCGCTGCATATTTCTGAACAATTTCATCCAGTGGGTAGCAAATGAAAGAGTTTGTATGTAGAATCATAGACCAAATAAAAGATTGTCGTTAAAACAATCTTTAAATTTTTTACTTGTCAAAATAAATGGCTAGACTCCCACGCAAGCTTGATTCTTTGTAACGATCATACAACAAATAGGTAAATTATCACGGTAATTCATTATGGCTCATTTACATTAAACAATAGTACCTTCATGGCTATAAATTGAAAGAGCCAAATAGTACCTTAATTTGGCTCTTTCAATTTTATGTCATAGTAAGTAATTAAAGGAATATCATTATACTTTTTTCTAATTTAATACGACAAGTTTAACATCTGTTATATAAAAAAAAAAATAGAAAAGATAAATAGAAATAAAAGTAAACGACAAGTGTCATTGATAAATTACGATAAAATGTACATTCTTTATAAAACATTTTTTCCAACAATTTATGTCGACCTCTAGGAAACTGATTGAGACTCCGAGAGGTCTATATTGCCTCTGCGAAGCGTTGAAAAAAACATTATTAATTGTATTACCTATAGGAAAAAAGCCTTCTATGTGCTACAAGTTTTTGTATAGAACTAACTAATAGATAAGTATGCGTGCAATAGTTTGAAAAATAATATCCAAAATACCAAGTTCTTATTTATGATTCTATTTTACTAGGCTTCCCCACATTTGTCCAGGTATTTTTCTTCTTTTATCTGTACTCTGTCATGATATTATTGTCTGGTTATACATTGTATGTTTAAAACCACGTAGTCTACTTAAAACAACAATATCATAGATCGCCTCGCGTATTTTACTATTATGCTACATTCTTTTTTATCCCTTATTTTTAACCCCCTTATTTTAATATGCGTCTGTAAGTCTCATGGCACATTATAATAGGACGTGTATTTTTTTTTGTTTTGTGACAATCTTGCACTATCTTTTTATCTGCTGATAATACAGTTACGGCAATGAGGCTTATTAGATCCCTGTCTCGCGCAACATTTTAAATTAGTTAGCAGTGACCTAGATAGGTAATAACCAAATATGATGTTGATTGGTAATAGAAATAGTCTAGGAATATTTCGTAGATATTTTTAATGATGCCATTGCGATGCTATAATTAAGTTATCATAAGGAAATAATGGCGTAAAAACAGGGTAGATCAGCGCGCGCTCAGTTTAACTTATTGTTAGTGCTCTACGCAAAACACTGGAACTATGTGCCTTAGGTAAAGCACTGGAACGACGCCCATAAAAATCACAACAAAATAAAAGACTTTCCATAGGTACTGCTGGTCTGGAAATGTTATACTTTGGATTATCGCGGCTAACTCAACTTCAAACAACAAGATTCTAGGTCACTTTTTAGGCATTATTTCCTATTCACTTAATATTTACTCAATTGGTATTTTAAGTTGGCTTGAGTTTGGACTCGTAAACATTGGCACCGTTACAACACTATTTGTACTCCATTGCGGCAATGAAACTGCACTGGTTCGAACGAAGATATTCCGTGACCGCAGCGCCTTGGCAGCGGCCTTGCTGAGAATCCCGGAGCTGTTATATAACTTGTACTACGGATGATGACGCAACACCGATATAGGTTGTTCTAAACATTAAAAAAAATATTACTAGTATCAAACTTTAAATAGTGATAAATAATACTTATCTCAAAAGAGACCTTTTCAAGAAAATGCGGCGGGCGGAGGTTTTCTGTAGGTAATTAATTAAATAATAGGCGCCCGAATTCAATAGCATTTTTTTATAATAAGTCGCTATTGAGATACGTATTATTTATAACTTTTTAAAGTTTGAAGTCCGTTTTATGTTTTTAAGATTGTAAAAGTCTTAGAACAAGTTTTATTATTAGAAAAAAATATTTGCTTGCTTGTTTGTTTGTTTGCATTGGATAGACTCCGAAACTATTGGACCGATTTATAAAAGTGTATCATCTACGGAAGCTACATAATACGCGTTGGATATAAACTATAATTTACGCAGGTGAAGTCGCGGGAAATCAGCTAGTTTGATAAAAGTTGGTTTTTGCTAACAAGAAATTGATGAACATACGTAATTTCAATAAAAAAAATTTAATGAATTCAAAATACGTTTTCTTTTGTTTTTTAGCTGAAATGAATATATTTTAAGTTCCGTATTTGTAAGTACTGTATTTTTAAGGACTTCACCTGTTATGTATGACATACTATATTGTCTTTTTTTTTGGTAAATAAAGTTATTATTAATTTAAGATTAAAAAATCTAGTATATTTGTTATAAAAGGAAAACTACGATACGGTTACATACTTTTGTCAACTAAAAACGGGCATAATCCAAAATATAGACTCTATCAACAGTCTATAACGCAAAACTACATGTTAAGGGCACCAACAATCTCAAGTAAGTTTGATTTAATTTTTTAATACTGGGTCACTGATAGAGTGTATCCAAAGACTTAATTCCCAGCAGTGAGGACTAGTCTAATAGTACAGAGAATAGTAGAAATCATTAGAAACTGCTCTTGACCTCACATGGAAGTCCATTGACCGTCAACGTTATTGAACGAGAAGCTCTTGCTAAATTCGCGTGCGTTTACTAAAGTAAATATTCGAGTGCAACATTGCTACTATTTAATAAAATCAGCCTCAAAGTCGACGTCAAGCACGGCGCTACCACACCATGGAGGTTCAATGAAATAAAATCTTCATTACTTTATAAACTTTTATTATTTTAGGTTTCATTCGATTGAAACGCTATCTGACAACGTTGTGTTCGAAGTAGAGTTACTTGGTGAATTTTTATTTTTTTCAGAGTAGAATTGGAGTTGGCATTAGTAGTGCTGATTTTTGACATGTGCTTTTACGACATTTTGTTCGTAGAATAAATTACATATAACCTCCTAAAAAGGGTGTCTACTCATTCGAATAGAGTAGAAATTGTTTGACTATGATACGAAAATTAATAGCAATATCATGTTCAACGATTACTTAAGTACCTAATGACTAAAAAAGTTTTAGTAATCCAAAAAGGTATTATCTTTGTTTTTATAGGCCTCACACATTTTACGCCTAAACTGGTAAAGATGATGAAGAATTGGAAAAGAAAAATAATTACAGAATGTGTTCAAAAAGTTTCCCCATCATCGGCTTAAAAAAAAATATCAAATATTATCTGTGAAACTTTTAGTTGCAATGTAAGTCTAGTTAAGTTTAGATACAATGGAATATTTTTTCTGAGGACTGAAAATAGCGTTGCTTGACTTTCCTTAATTTGGAATTTAATCTATACAAATAAATATAATTGGAGTGTCTATTTGTTATATTAAAATTACAGCTTTTAACTTAATGCAAATGTATACATACACGGTACATATACCAAAATATATTTACATTTATTGTCATTCTGTTGGTTCTGGCTATTATTTTAAATCAGATTTAGACGGGACTTACACTGGCAGATAGCTGCTGTAATAAGGAGTAACTAAGGCTACTTACCACGCGAATGAAATCGTAGGCACAGCTAGTTTTTTTTAATATTTTTTTTATATAACGTTATTGTTGTATTCATGTGGGCCCAAACTCCAAAGTGTTTTTCTCTCCACAAGTTATATAACTCCTTTATTTTAAACATTGAGTTTGACCTGTAGCACTGGCCTTGCGCTACTTATGATCTAGGCGCTGTAAATTATTGAGTCAGTATGTCTGTAACAGACAATCGTTTACGTACCTACTAATTCATTTCCAGTTCAGTACCGTCGAATTCTGGAAAGGCTTTTGTTATTTGCCACTGTATTGAAAAATATACAGAACATGCTAATTGTGATTTCATGTCAATTCGCATCTACTGGTGGACTTTAAGCATCGTTACTAATTGGTTCTGTAGGACAGAAGACCGTTGGCTAGAAAAGAGGTAGGCGGTTGCATTGCAACCCCGGCTTTGACCACTGCCTCCTTTTTGTAAGGCTTTTCAACACGTTTTAACTAACGTAACATAAGGCAAATATATTTTGTACTTCACAGTGAACGATTTTTTAAATATTGCGTAAAAGCGAAACTTATACCGTCAAAGTTCACTCCCTCGTAACTCATTAAAATGGTCAAACCTTGCACTAATACACTAGCTAATAAACAATCAGATGTTCCCTCATTATAATAATAGTAAAGATACAGTGCCAACAGATTAAGGCACACGGGAATAACCTGAGAAACTTCAAAACATGAGTTACTGCTCGATTTCATTTAGCTGACGTCGGTGCGTAAAATACTTGGCGTACTGCCAACCGTTCATTCCGACCGGCAGATATGGGACAGTATTTGACTCTGCCCTTTCTTATATAACTGAAAATACACGAGATTATTTTCGGCGCGTACTTGGCAGTGTCCTTGGTGGTTAGCACAGATATGTAAACTGATAAACTTATCAATCGCTAAGGCAATTAGCACGTCGTATTACTGCAGAATATTACGTTATATCTACTACTTAGTTACTACATTAGACCAACGTTACTCAAAGTGTGCTGAGTTTATGGAAACAATAATAACTGGCTTTCAGCCAGCGGCTTCACCCGCATGGTTCCCAGGGAACTGTTTATTTAGATATCAATTCATATCATGACACGGATATAATAAAAAATTGAATAGTACACAGTGGTTACTATGGTAATGTTTTAATTCCCTATACAAATTTCCACTCCCATTTTCGTCCCTTTATTTTCTGTTTAAGGAATAAAACAACCTATGTTCGTTACATATTGTAGTTTCCCGTAAGTAAAAGAATTTTTTAAACCGCTCTAGTAATTTCGGAGTAAAATATGCAATTCCTTATTAATAAAGAGTTACACATTTATACAATTAGGTATGATGTTTCTGTTATATTATAATATATAATTTTTTTTCTTCCATAAAAAGGCTGAAATAATAAAAGTAGGGTAGATTAACTCACATAAATTTATTGAAATAAAATAGTATCTACAATTTCATACATTTTTACAATACGTTATAGAATTTCATACTTTTCACAGACGACTAATGGAATGACATATAGTTATTTTGTATTTTCAAACAAGTTAATAAAAGCACAATTAGGAAATAGTTATCATACAATCAAATCGAATGTTTATAAAAAAAACTGGAGTCACAAAACAAGACTCTTTTAATTGTTTTATTACATATATATTATATATACGCCAATTAAATCTGACTGAATAAATGCTCTTTATATACGTAATGCGTGGTAAGTAAATTACCAAAATGGCGACTGCGCGTACATTATGGGGTCTCAATTGAGACGCGGGAGTGAGACGCATCGTGTAACCATAGCAACGAAGTATAGTCCATGAATATATCTACGCGGGGAATCGCCATTATGGATTAAATTTACCAAAAAACAATACTATAAAGTCAGCATTTTTTTATTTTATAATATAATAAGTTGTTTGTGTAATTTAGTTTCTACCTATGTTTGTTTCACTTAAAATTATTGATTCATTTATTTTTAGAGTAACAAACTCTCAATAAATTACTTATATAACGATTACGGTGACGTCTCAGAGGTCATTTACACCTTTGTTTTGTTGATAGGGTTGCCCTGAAACAAAACATAATATGATTAAATAAACAAAAAAAACACCCAATTGAAAGGAAGGTATGGTGCTTCTGTTAAAACACTATCACGTATCTTAAAAATGGAATAAAAATGATAATTCGTCTCAAATATATATATGTTTTAAATGTCCTCAAAATAAAAGGGTTATATTGAATGCATCAATGCTTAAATGCAATAGGGCATTTTTATAGTTTTATTGAACATGATATCTTAACAAATGTGAATTTTAATGTCTCTTTATACTACTCGTACGAATTAACATGATTTGCTTCCATCAACAATTCCTCGTCCAAACAAATATTAAATGTATCCTGAGGTGGAGTAACCCAGTCCATACAAAATTTTATCTTAATTCATAGCAATTAATAATAGTCTTAATTTAGTCTTAAATCTTTGTTTTCTATTTAAAGTCTAGCCAGAAACGTGATATTGGCGGAATAGGGTAGTTTCTGTAGTGAAGATAAGTCACCATATTGCGCAAAAACTAGAATTTTACATCGTAATAAACGTACGAGATTCCGATGAATTTAAAAAAAGAAGAAGAAGAATTAACATGACACCCAATGGTAGGCCTATTCTATATCTGCGAAAACGAAATGTTGTACATTTTTGAAATGCTAATATAAGTCCAAAGAGACGTATTTTTCTATAATATATGACACAATGGAGGAAAGACCTAACACTGCCTTTGGTGCACAGGTAGTCCTTCGAGGATGTGATTTTAATAAAATTATAAAATCGAATCAAAATTTTCCTAATTTTCTTTGGACAATAAGACACAGACTAGAACCCGAGATGTCATCTTAATTCGGACGAGTTATAATGATTATTTGTAGTATTTCGGTCACGGATATTAGACTATTACACGCAGATGTCATTATAGTATGCTCAATATAATACATAACTTAGTTAAACTTCATACTCATGTCGAGCCAAGTAATTTGTATCCCCATTCTCGAATACAATGTAATTGTAGTTTGGCAAACAGCGTTATTATTATCTACTGTCCTACAAGTTACATTGAAATCACGAGATTTTTTTGGCTCGGTCGCAGACTGCATCGATATAATACCGCATTCGAGACGTTTCATAACATTTCCAGTGACAATTCCCTGTTCCCTCCTCTAATTTCGTAATTCCTTATATTACAACTCATAAAAATAGAATTACTATTTAATTTGAGATCTATGCAGCAATTAATGTTTGTTGGCTTTTACAGCTTATAGTATTTTTCTAACACGAGTAATTTAGAATGTTGGGAAAAAGCCTGATCTCGTTTTCAAAATTGTGAGATTTTGCGGAAGCTTGAGAATTAAATAAAAATATATATTGAAAATTTACAAATATAGAAATTTTCTTAGATTTCCGCTATTCTGAAATGAGTAGTCTTTTAATCACAGGGTCAACTCTAATCTAACCACAAGTGAAATTAACACTGCAATATGAATCGACACCAAGCGTCAAGCAATGTCTTAGACGAGTCAAATTTAAGCTTTATTACGATCGCATTAAGTCACAATACGTGATGTGCATTAAGTTTTCAATCAGTATGATATAACAACAGACTACGACAAGTGTTCGGTTTACTGTTGCTGTTTTGATTATTATGGATTAAGTTAGCTGCATGCAAGAGTGTGCTTATCGGATAAAGGAATCCAACTTTAGTCCTAGTTTTATCTATAAAAGTTTCTGATAATCTCTATAATACAAAATAAACTATGAAGCCTCGTAAGTTCCTTTTGACATCGACAGAATCATCGAATTCAGTCAACGAAGCGTAAAACGGCAGTCTGCACTAGCGTTACCAGGTGCCCCTATTTTCAGAGGTCTCCAGGACGCGTCCGAATCGGCACCTAATCGGGACGCTTATGTCCCGAAAAATCATCGACTTTACTAAATCTACTGAAAAACGTGTAAAACTAGAATTAACCCCCTTATTTTTCGAAGTCGGTTAATTCCCATTTTTGTTTTTTATTTTACCTTTTGTCCCAATTTAAAACAAATCGGACCGGGCAAAACTAGTTAGCACATCCACAACGTGGCTTGTTGAGATTTTGGACCAAAAGTTTACGAGGGTGGGATGATAAATAGCTAGCCTAGCATAGAAAAACTTGAATTAGTGTGTTAAAAGTATATTAATTTTTCGACATAGTCTCCTTGAAGCGCTATGCACTTCATCCATCTATGCTCTAAAGCCTTGATGCCATCCCTGGAGTGGTTCTCTTCAAGCCCTTCAAAACAACTGTCCACGGCAGCCATCACCTCGCTATTATTTTCAAATCTTTGTCCACCTAAAAAATTTTTGAAGCTTAGGGAATAGATGAAAGTCAGATGGTGCCAGATCAGGAGAATAAGCTGGGTGTGGTAGCAAATCATAATTTAATTCTTTGAATTTCGCTATCGCAGTGATGCACGTGTGATTGCGCGCATTATCCTGATGAAAGATTTTTTTTTTTAGCCAGGCCGGATCTTTTTTCACGAATACACACTTGTAATTTATCCAGTAGATCAGCATAATATTCGCCATTTATGTTTTGTCCTTTTGGAAGGTAATCAATCATCAATATACCCTTCGAATCCCAAAATACTGACGCCATGACTTTCCCCGCTGATTTCACGGCTTTTGCTTTATTTGGAGCCAGGGTCCTTTTTCCGTCCATTGTTTAGACTGAATTTTTGATTCAGGTTATATACCTGAATCAACCCAAGTCTCGTCTGGAGTAACAAACCGTCGCAGAAAATCAGTTGTATTGCTCTTAAAGCGGTCCAAACATTCTTGTGAAATTTGCATACGAACGTGTTTTTGGTCAACTGTAAGCATCGCGGCACCCACCTTGCGGATAATTTTTTCATACATCATTCTTGAGTCAAAATGTAATGCGCCCCTTTTTAAATTAATATATTTGAAAAATTTTGCATCCACTATGCTATATTGAAAAATATCATTCATTTAAATTGCTTAAAAAATTCTTACAAAATCCTCTTTGTCCCTGGCACTCTGAGATAGGACTCGAACCCATAACCTTTCGCAATCCAGGCAACTGCTTTAACTGTTGAGCTGAGCTGAACTAGCCTGGGTCTTTTTTTTAACGATGGAAAATGCTTTTCCGCATACCCTGGTTCGCCAGCGCGGCTAGCCAGGGTAATGTGGGGCTCTCCCCTGCGGACCCGCCCCAGATGAGGCTAGTCAAAGAGCGGGGGTATACCCACTAAAAACCACCGACATCCCTTGCTACAGGGCGATGCACGGTATGGTTCCCGAGGGTACCATTTCCCGCGCCGTTCGCCCCGTACTCGGCCCGCCCTGAAAAGGGCAGGTCCTACCACGGGTTGGGACGGGGACTCAGGGATATTTGAGCCCGACTCCCACGACAGGACGGAACGTGCAATGTCCGATAGCGCGCAAACTACCAGACTGTAACTACCCTGGGTCCTGACCTAACAGGACTGACGAATTTTTCAAGCACCTGTTACCATTTTCTCTATTACAGAGCGTATTTTCATCATCGTTCAGGGTTCAATGGTTATAATAAGCATCAAAGTCTAATTACAGGTAATAATAGTATATTAAAAAATAATATGTATTGATTATCGTTTACGTCTACTCATCCGTATTATTTGAATAAAGTCTTGAAATACAAGACACCGTGTTAGTGAATTTAAGTAAAGGAACAACTAAGTACCGATTCTCAGTATTGAACGGTTATTTATATTAACAAAATTTAGGTCTACGCGTGGACAAAGGCACCCCTTTGTATTTAACCTAGCGGTATCAACTAACAGGATTTTGTGGAATTGAGGTCGGATTATTGTACTAATGCTAAATTAGTAGCTCTACGTATTAGCTGTTTAAGTTTCCAGATGAAAGTATACAATGCTAATATAACAATTATTATATTAATTATAGGTCAACAATGACCTTCTCCTGGGTTCATATAAAGATTATTGATATAAAATATGGGATGACGTTGTGTGATGTCACATTATTAACATGGCTGCGGCGCGTCTTACCTATCTATTTTATAGCCAAGTGGTATAAACAGCCGACCAATTAGGCGGCTAGCCCTTCAATGAAATTGAATGGCGCCGTTCAATTAAAGGGCACGTGACTGCGACATGCGACATATTCACGGAATTTGCGTGTATACCTTGTGACATGAATACGCACGCCTAGGATCCGGACTGTGCTACATTATTTATGATTGATAACTCCAGTAGCCTTTTCTGTTGGCATTGAGTTTTTAGGCGAATTTACTCCTGTCTATACACGATTAGTGCGTATTATGGAACGTGTTGGGGTCTTGAAGAGTGTAGTTGATAGTAGTTTGGATAAAGTTGAATAATAGTTCAAGTTAAACACTGCACTGTGTAAATAGTTAAGTTTATTTAATTAGTAGATAAGTTTAGTTAGTAGATACATGAGTTGATCAAGTATAAATTACAACTAACTTTAATGTCGATATATATAATATACTAAGATTATTGACCGCACGCCAAAGTAGGTTGCACGTCAGCAGTAAATATAAATTAGTTATTGTACGTAATCGTACATGCTCCCGAGGGAATATGAAAAGAAAGTATATAAAACAAAAAGTAAATTTTTACAAAAGTAAATAGTAAAGTGTATAGATTAAAATAAGATATAAACAATGTATAACTAAATCAAAAAAGAAAATATATAAAACAAAAAGTAAATTTTTACAAAAGTAAATAGTAAAGTGTATAGATTAAAATAAATATAAAAAAAGTATAACTTAATCAAAATTAAATATTTTGTTTGTTACATTTGGTTGTTGGGAGGAGGGTCCGCTTATTTCATGTAACTCTATATCTTGTTGGAGACTGATGGTACCTTGTTGCGTAGGTGAATTATTTGTTTTGGCAACCTGTGAACGTCTTCTTCTTCGGATGATAACAAATATAATAAGACTCGCCGTAGCTCCTCCCGCCACAACACAAAAGAATACATAATGGAAGACATC